TAGAATATTCAATTTATTATTACTTGTTTTTGATAATAATAATTATGAAAGGTAAAGATGCTAAATATCAAAAGCTAGAATGCCGATAATCATAAATCCTTGTAGATCTTACGTGAAAAATTTTTTTTGATCAATAGAATGTAATAAATCACACATAGCGCAACGGCGAAGTCTATCATTAAATCATTAGAAGAAAACATCTTCAAGAGATCTTTTTCTCATTTTACAGTCGCCAACTGCAATACATGAGAGTTTTTGATATTCATACAATATAATATATCTTAAATATTTTTTCAGGAACAATTTACAGCTATGCGAGATTTGTATATGAAAAATGGTCAAGGATTTGTACTTGTGTATTCTATAACTGCTCAATCGACATATAATGATCTTATTGATTTACGTGACACGATTCTTAAAGTAAAAGATACAGCTGATGTAAGAAAAATTTTGTTTTTCATGTATAATTTTTATCTATACATATTTTGTAATAATTAATATAGATACCAATGGTATTAGTAGGAAATAAATGTGATCTTGAAAATGAACGTGTAGTTGGAAAAGAACTTGGTCAAACATTAGCATGTCATTGGAATTCAACATTTCTGGAAACATCTGCAAAACAAAGAATAAATGTTAATGAGGTTCGAATTTTTTTTTAATATACTTTATAAAAAACAAAATAATTAATTGTAATATTATTTAGATATTTTTTGATCTTGTTCGTCAAATAAATAAACGAGCAGCAGTAAATAAAGATAAAAAAGCAAAAAACAAAAACTCTGGTCAAGCTAGTAATCCAAATCCCTCAGCTCCAGATGAAACAAATGGTGTTGATAGTTCACAAACAAATTCACGAAATAAAACAACTGTTTCAAATAATCAAGACTGTTGTATACTTTTATAAAATTTCAAAGATATATATTTTCTATTTTGCTTTTCTTATGGCAATTCTACGTTACATAATGTTCATTTTATTTTCTGCTTAGTTCAAATAGAAAATCTTTTTTTTAGATCTTATTTGTTCTGTAAATATGAGAAAAATCATTCATGTATGTGTTCGAGAAGCAAATCCTTCTATGTGAGATAAAAAATAAGATATTAAATTCATTCTTTCGAGTTTGACTATTTTTGCTTTTTACTCTAGTTGTATGCGGATAGAATCAAAAGATAAACAATAGATAAGAATAAAATAAGCTTTGGTTGAATTGATGTATCTCGAGATGTTGTTGTCCGTTGAAGTTGCTCTTTTTTTTCCCAAGAATTGAGTTATCTGGGAATACATTCTAGGGTGAATAGACAATTGAATTGACATTAAATAAGGCAGTCCTAAAAATTCTGACGAGAGAACATTTTCAATTAACTAATCATGCTTCCATTGGAAGTTAGTACATCGCAAGTTATGAACCAAACTGATTCCGACTATAACAATCAGAAATTCTCTTAGGTCTTCATGCGCTAGTTTCCAAGCTAACAAGCTTTTTGCCACAAACAGTAAATTTCTCTGTTTCTAATCAGTTTCTTTTACAGAAAATACAACCATTTTATTTCATCCAACCGATGTATGGCAAAGCTTCAATGTGAAAATTTTCAAGATGATATTATTTTACTTAAGATTCATGCTCGGAAAACAGAAAAGATTGTTGTCTGAGAAACAATTCGATAAACTCTATAATCTGAGTAGGTCACACATGATTTTGGCGAAAGTTTGTTAGCCGGGAGAACCAGCATATAAAAGTTTAAGTGAGTTTCTCATGATTATGTTCGAAATCAACATGGTCGATAACTTAAAACTCACTGGCATCCGATAAAGAAGCGATTGATCAGTTGAAAACCTCTGGATAGATGCTCACGTTGGGTCTGTGGGCATAGATGAAAAGGAGACCTACACCCCACAGCCTAGGAATGACAAAGATAAATGTAAGTATATGAATAATAAATCAAGTATTCTATTAACATAGTTTAAATTAAGACTAGAGAATCCAGCTTTTTTGCATATGCTAATATTGTCAATCAATCAATTTGACCAAATGTTCTTATACGGATTTTCAAGTTTATCTAAATTTATTTGTTAATAAACGTCTTCAATCATCGACGTTAATAATGTGCAATATTAATATACCCATACAAATTGAACTGTTTTTTTATGTGTTTCATTCATCAATAAAGTCTTGTTCTAATTACATTCTCCGTTTGTCATTACTAGAATGCATGAGGAGCAACATCTTCAATTTAGCTTATTACAATCATTACATATCGCTGTATCTGTATCGATTGAGAAAGAGTCGTCAACTGACTACTTGAAAATCGAAAGACTTCGTAATTTATTATTCAATAATAATTTGAATTCACTCACAGTAAAAGAGAGTATCGTTCTCTATAAACAACTATGTTCGAAACAACATCTCAAACAATTGATGGTTTGATCTCTAATTTAATCTTGCTTAATGTTACTGTACGCGAATCTAACGTATATAAACGATCACTGGTACCATGACTTTGGACACGTTAATTGATGATGCATTTGGTTGAATTCCGAATAACGACCGAAGAACAAGTAGCAATTACATTTGATCATTGACGTGGAACGGTTATGCCTCTCATTCAACTCGAAAGATTCACACTCGCCGTAAAACAGTCGATTAGTAATGATCAACAATTTGTAAATGCGATCGAATTGAAATATTATTTTCCAAATTAATACCTCGACTTCGTCAATTTCATTGTTTTATTCAGATAATCCATGAATATTTATTCAGATTTTTGCAGCACTAAGCAAATTTTGGCCTTTAGCATGCAAATCGAAATCGAATGGTTTATATCAATATTTGTACATGATTCCATAAGCATTTGAACAACTTGATATATTATTGATGTATCATATACATATATTTATCACAACATTTTCCAAATATTCATACACTCAACGTTCTGCTCGAATGCAATTTCTCTCGTGATGATTATATGACATTTTGTCGAATTCGTCATTTGAAAACAACTGATATTAATATGATTTCGTTTCTTCCGACAAGACATCTTCAGACATTGACGTTATCTGAAGGATTCGAATTATTGCAGCATCCAATAATTTATTCCAATGTATTACATTTGATATCGAAAAAGAATAAAATAAAGTCGTTGAATAGATTAGCACTGATTGTTTTCAATATTCATTGTTCAAGCACAAACATATTTTCATCAACATGAAATACAACAAACTATCAGAGAAACTTTACTATCTGTATTCCGAAAAATCATTTTCGAAAATGTGATAATTGTCAAGTCGCAAAAGCTCTGAACTTGAATTTATTTTAATCGAACTTTGTCAAAACTTTTCTTGAATTTATACGCGTCTTCAAGAAAATTTGAAACCTACGAAAAAAATTTTTGATTTACGGTGTGAGGTGTGAATGCAGTCGAGAAGTGGTGTAGATGAGGATGAATATCAGAACCCCACTTATACCCACATCCTTTTTTTCAAATCCAAATCTACTCATAACAGTTTTTGTACAAGCCCGTTTGCGTGAAAGAATGCTACGAATCAGAGCTTAGTAATTCTATTGAATATTGGCGCGCTTACTACAACTGTATTCGAGACCTTACTGCACAAAACTTTAGTGAAGATGAAACGAATTGTCTAGGTTCTTTTTGTAGTGTTTTTATTTTCATGTTCTTGTTATCATTCATCATCAAAGTAAAAAATAATAGTATTTCATAAGTCTTCAGACGCAACAAAATGAAGTGCAATGCAGACAGAGAATAATTTCAGAGCGAAAGATTTTTATATGAGCATTACAACAATCTTATTTAACCAACACGTATTTGTTGTTCAACACTTTGTGTTGATTCGCTAAATCTAGTAGAAATTTTATCCATCATTGCAAGTTTTCGACTTTTATTCTTTGTTCAATACACTGTATTTTACGTACTTTGCATTGAATATTCCTAATTGATGTTCAATGAGCGATACATCTGTAAATTTAGCATCATGTGGTTGAGATCAAATTTCATAATTAAATAATTCGCCAATAGTTCAAAATGGAATCATTGCTAATTGGTTTTTCGCTATAAACACACAGTTACTGTTTATATAATTGTGCCGAACATGAAAGCAGTAGATCATGAGGATGTGGGTATTAAAGAAAGAATATTGACACTCACGTCTACACCCTAGCTGTTTTTTATTAATCGTTTTCTTAGTATTTAAATTCAAAACTTAAAGTTTAATTTTTTTTTCATCTAAGAAATAAGAACACATTTAGAACAAGAAAAAATGATAAGAAAAATTCATATTTTGCGTCATAATGGTGAGAATTTTTCGAGTTATGACTACATATACTTATAAATTCGAATAATTATTATACTCAACATGATTGGTTTCAAGTATTTCTAACTTTAAAACAACTAATTAAACATACAACTCTTGATGTTCACTGTTTAAAAACTGATCTATATCATGAAATAGTCATCTTAACAAGTGTACAATTATAAATATTTCTTTACACTCATCTTCACATTTTTTAAATAATAAATTGACAAGTTTAAGAATTAATTCTTATAAAACTTTGAATTTTTTTTCCTACATATGGAACATGATCGAATTGCATGTCCACAAGATACACAAGTATATATGTGTCCACAAGGCATACATGCGAATTCTTTTACTGTAGTTAAGACATGAAACATTCACCAAATGATTCTTTTCGTGATTGAGAGAGAATAACAAAATTTTCTGGAGAACCTTGAATAATATCAATTTGTTTTCGAACGATACGACAAACTAATTGATAAATCAGTATCTGATTTAAACTTATCATTTTTAATTTTGAATTGAACTTCAAAACAACGTTTAATAACTGCTAATAAATATTGTTAACGAAGAAAAGTCGGTTTTTTGCTATTTGAATTTTTCCATACAATTGTTTGCCACATAGATATTTAGCACAAGTACAGTGAGGAAACCATGGAGCATGTTCACTTAGAGGATTGCCATTTGGACTTCATTCATGTAATGAACCATTACAATAAAAACATGTCACTGAATTATCAATGCTAACATTAAAGAATCCTACGCGAACCAAATTTTCAATAGTTGGTGAATTTTCTTTCCAAGTAGTATTAGAAACTGTTGTTTCTCGACGAGAGATTTCAGGATGAGATGGTTCAACATCTTTATCAAGTGTATTCTCAATTACTTCATCAGTCATTGTCCATTCATGATAAATTCTATTATAACACATACATATAACTCGATCATTCACATTACATGGAAATCAACCAGCATATGCTATAAATTCATAACTTGCCGTAAAATATGATCACTGAATAAGACTATTTATTCGAACTTGTTGTATTGATTGTAATTCATTTAAAGAATATTTCTGTAGATACGATTTATTTCGATTATAATGAATCAATGACGAATTTTGATTAATATATTATTCTAATATTCATTATGGACTTCTAGGAAGTATCTAATAGTGTTAAGACTTTTTTAAATAAATTTCTATGTTCGGAGATGAAGTTGGTAAAAAAATCTTTCATCCTAAAGTATGTGTCATTATTTTTTCCTTCTCAAAGTTAGAGAAAAGAAAAAATATTACGTTGTGAGTAGGTGTAGATATGATATTCTGTTCACTTACACCCACATCCACATCCTTATGATCAAAATTTAGAGCTCTTTCGGATCTAATAATTATTGAGTAAGGTTGTATAGATCATGTTCATGCTCATAATTTACTAATAACTTCGTTCAGTTTTGTCTGAATTCGCCACTTTAGTTTCTTTTTATAAAGGAAAAACATTAGCTTTCCAAATTGAGGCTTCTGATCGGAGAAGGTACAAAATAAACGAAGATCTCTTTGACTGTTGTACGTTCGCTTTATTGAGGATTGTTGTAAAAAAATATCCAAATATCGTCATTCAGAAAAAGCTTGGCATTGCATCTCTACTAGTAACAAATATATTTTTGCAAAAATGACTTAAATAGAAGAAACTTCTGGATTATTTCATTATGAAATGTATAGGAAAATTATAGCAAAACTGAGATTAAGTATTTCAATTGGAAATGTTTATTCAGCATTAGATTCCCAAACCATAGCTTCTTTTCCGACTAGAAAATGAAAAACATATTCGATCCTTTTGTATTTCATGATTCATCGAAATTATGAGTATTTCTCTATACTTACGAAAATACTTTCTTTAATTTGAATATACAAAAATAAATGAAAAAAAAATAATGTTACTCACTTGTTGGAAATTAATTTCTAATGATATAGGATCTGTCAAGAGTCTGCTTGGAATAATCCATTATTGTCCTTTACACCTTCATATACTACTTCCGATAACATTGACTCATGCATATGAATCATCGATATGTCCTTATAAACTTGAGAAGTTTCATATTTATTCTTTATAAGAATGACATAATTATTTTTGATGATCATCTGACAGAGAAGTACGTCTTTGATTTCTTTTTATTTGTAGACAATTAGATGTATCTGAAGGTGCATATGATAAATACATTTAATGCAGTAAGATGAACCAATACCAAAATAAACAAAAAATCCGATTATAGACTGAAAAACAATATGAAAAAATTTCCAACTGACTAATTTGATGATAAAACAAATCAAACCATAAATCATTGTCATAGAATATCAGTAAATAGTTCTATTTCAAACTCTTTATTTTTTTCATTTTGAAAATCTCAAAGCCTTGTTGTATTTTAATACTGCTTTTTGGACTGTAGATTCACTATTCTTCACATACGTCTAGTACTTAAATTGAAATCATGGTAGGTCTAGATGCAAAAAATAAACATATTCTTGATACAGAATATATTTGTCCTGTGTGTTCATTGATACTACGAGATCCTGTACAATTCATAAAGTGTGGTCATCGACAGTGTCAATCATGTTTCGATGCTCACCATGAGCAAGTTTTATTATTAATTTATTACATGATTCTTTATTATTTTTTTTTAAAGAATGACAATTCACTGTCCAATGTGTCAATCAGAAACATCACGAATTGAGGTAATATATCTCATTATAATTAAAGAGAAAAAAATATTTGACTTAGGTAGATCATGCCTGACCAAGGTTTCAAAAATGATATGAAATCACTATCTATTGATTGTTCTTTTTGCCAATGGACTGGTGTCTTACATAACTATCAAGTCCTTTATTTATATTAACTTTATTTCTGAATCTTTCTATTATTTTTCTTTCAAAAGGAACATCTTGATGAGTGTCATTCAAATTTGAAATGTGAATATTGTGATGAAGAATTCAACTCAGTTGACAACATCAATGAACATAAAGTCTCTGGATGTCAAAATTTGATGGTTGATTGTATATTCAAAGATTATGGTTGTAATGAGCCAGTATGGATATTCTCTAAATATAACGTCTGAAAATGTTTGTTCTCTAGATTACTCTTAACAAAATGAAAGAGCATTATTTAACTGAACAACATCAATATGTCACTGTCATAGTTGTTCGTGAAATTTTATCACAGTTAAACGATATACAAGCACATAAAGATCTTTTTCGAGCAACAGTTGCAGGAGATTCTAATCCAATCACAACTCATTTACAAGGGCTTTATGAAATGCTTAGTATTTTTTCAGATGGCATTGAGACATTGAACAATGACTTACAACGTCTAAGTAATGAATCATTTGGAATTCAAAACGCGCTTCCAACATTGACAAAAGAATTATCAAAACTTAAATTATCGGTTGAAACCTCAAATGTTTTTCTGGACGAGATTGAACAAAATCAAAGCATTCTCAATCGAGTTTTTGCATCACTACAGGAAATAATCAATGAATCGCAAAATGTTTCATATGATGGAGCATTGGTATGGAAAATTACAAATTTTCAAGAGAAAATGAGTAAGTTGAACAATCGTTCTTATACTCAATCATTAAAATCTATCAAATAATAAAATGTTATTTGGTTTCTAAAAACATCGACAAATAATATATATTTAGTCGAATATTATATTCAAGATGAAATCTAACCATTCTGGAGTACAATATATGATTAATTTATCGATGTATTGATGAAATCAATCTTCAACGTTATCAATGTGTTAATTTTCTTTAATCTTGCTTTATTTCTTCTTCACGTATTTTGTTTTGCTTAATTTCTAGAAAATGCACAGTCTGAAAGACAAACATCAATTTATTCGCCTCCATTTTTTTCATCTCCAATAGGTTATAAAATGAGAGCTCGTTTGTATTTAAATGGTGATGGAAATGCTCGTGGTACACATATGTCTATTTTTTTTGAGCTCATGCAAAGTTTAAACGATGCTAATCTCAAATTTCCATTCAATTATAAAGTTACCTTTTGTTTGTACGATCAAACGTCTGCAAAACGACATATTATCCATTCATTTCTACCATATATTAGATCAAATAGTTTTCAAGGATCTGAATTGGACATGAACATAAACAGAGGTATACCAGAATTTTTTTCATTAAAAATAATTCAACAGGATGGAAATCATTATGTACAAGACGACACAATGTTCATCAAAATTATGGTTGATTTTGTAAATACACCCGATGGATTGATGCCGTACGCTTTCAGTCTCAATCCTGCTCTACCAACTCATATTCAACAAATGATGATCAAGCAAGAAGAAGACCGAAGAGCTCAACAGCAGTCTAATGAATAACTGCAGATGCATACAGAATAATCTACCGCTCCAACTAGACTAAGAATGAAATCAATAATCACAAACTGTTGTTCTGAAGTTGTAAAATTTTTACAGCTTATCCTATAAACTAGATGCTACTTAAACCTTCTTCCATTTTTTAGTATTCATGCAAAGTTTATCAATCTTACGTATATGCTACAGCGTTTTCTTTGTCTAATAACAGAAATATTGTTTCGAAAGTAAAACCTTTTATTTTACAAGAACTAGTACTCAAGCAGACAAGAATTTAGCAAACGGTGTTGAAACATTTTAATTGTTGTTTCCATTTGTTCGCTTTCATGCTTGAAGATTCAAATAGAAGGAAACTTTTGCCACTGGAAAACATGCAATAATTCTTTTCTGAATATTCTGACGTTTTATTTTCCAAAGAAAACTTGTTGCAAGTTTTCATACAACTTTCGTGATGAGAGAAACTTGTTTCGGCGTTTTTGGAAACCCTTCTCTATTTAGTTATTCTGATCATTTTTCGAAACGTTCTGAAACAGTGAGAAATATATGGACTTTTTCCAATTATGTTTGGAGACAAAGATAGCTTTTCAAATGATAAGCTTTTTTTTTAAAATAATTCAGCATTCATCGAGGTTTTCAAGAAAACTTTTGTTCATAATCAATACTTAATGATGCATCGTATCAGATTCCGCGATTTAATCATACTAAATTTGAGCTTTACTTTAAAAAATTTACACTGAATGTAACAATATATATGATAATAATAAGATAGACAAGTTCTCTACTCCTCTATTTAGTTTTTTTCTCAACAACTATAAAACTTGTGATTGGGCAAATATTGCATTGTACGGCAAAAATATCACCTTCTCTCTTTACTTGCTTCGGTCGATAGTTTTGAACCTCGAATAGAAAACATTAACTTGAAGATGTGTATGATTATGGCTGTATATTACGACAAGTGTGGAAACAAACCTAGCATACACAGCCGCCTACATTCGCAGTCAAAAATCCTCCACTACTCATTATTCATAAGATAGGTTTGAATGACATTGGCATATTTTCCATAGATTATTACTTCTTGACTGCTTTAGATTTTCTTATTCAACTTTTTTTTCTTTATTGTGAATGCTTTGGTCTTACGCAATTAGTAAGTGAAATTGTGAAAGTTTTTGGTGTTGGAAAAAATACGAATCTTTTAAACATAAGTCACTATCATGCAAAACAGTATTTGATTTCACCTGCAATGTTGAGTATGGGTGTGGATCAGGGTGTAAGTGTAGAAAATATTCATATACACACCCCCACCCTCTTATCATCGGCAACTAATCAAACTAGTTGTCGTTTATCTTCGTTATGTATTTTTTGGAGTTAATACGATGTGAATTGAAAAACTCAAATCTTTAATTACATCAAAAAAGCTTCTTGAAGACTGTTCAATAAAAGTGGTTAATAACAAATTTTACCTATGGTGGAGATAACGATTGTCAACATTCTATTTTCTTTTTCATGTTGATTAATGCCAAATAAAAATAAATACAACATATTCTTGTATTACAAA